TCTCCCTCAAGCAATCTTCCCTGAGGCCAAGCCACTCAGAACAGTCTGCAACATGTCCTTCCTTGGGTTGTCACAGAGTTTCAAAAAAGAGAAAAATGGACAACTTTAATTACTGAGACACTATAGAATGATTAGGTCTTCACTGGCCATTCTGGCATCTCAGGTACCTTCTCTCTGTCTTTTCCAAGCTAAGGTCATCTACCCCTTCCTCTTGGCTTCAGATGGAATCTCCCCTTGTTTTCACTATCTGAAACCACTTTTCTTCCTGGGAAGGGGAAGAGTGCAAAGGAGAGCTGTGACCTTTCTTATGTGCTTATCCCAAATTAGAATGCCCAAATGATGACCCATCAAGTCTTACAAGATTTTTCTTTACTTTCTTTGATGGGTTACCAGGGTATTACCTCATGCTGCAAAAGATTACATCTTTTTCTTTTCCTTTTCTTCCCTTTGAGCTCTCCTGGTTAGCATTTCTGTTGTGCGTCTTGATTACATTCCTGGTTTCAGATTGCTTCAGTCTTCCACATAGATACTGATTTTTTTCTAAAATGCATTATAAGAAATATTAAATTACTATCCCTTTTGTTGAACATCCATTTGCTCTCTAAATACTGTACAAAGATTGAGAAGAGGACCACAAACCATGAAACTGTGAATGAGTTGCTTACTTCTGAACATCTCTTCCAATAAAGCATATTAACTTCACAGTATTTGCTTAAAAAGTCCTGTCACATTTCTATTCAGCTAACTTAAAATCTAAAATGATAAAAAGCTGTAAACTTGTCATGACCCTTTCTGTATAAACCTCATGAATAAATACTATTTTTCAATATTTTACACTCTTACAGCATTATACATGAAGTTTTGCATTTTTTTACCCTATATAATGGGGTGAGTTGTCATTTGAATCATTTTAACATTGTAATTTTCCTCTCTCTTCCCCCACTAATCCCAAATTGATGAAAAAAAAAAAAACCAAACCCCACAACATTAATGGTCTGCAGAGCCTCTCAAATTGTCACTATTCTTAAATGCAATTTAAGCAACGCAACCAAAACATTTCAGAATTGCCGTCCATTATAGTACACTGCCTCATCGCTTTCCGAGTACGGAGCAGAAATATTTATGTGATTCTGTGGAGATCGATAAAACAAATTTGTAAATACTTATACTGCAAACCTCCACTAGTATGGCACAAAATTAACTATACAAACACTAGATGAAGTGTAAATAGGGTCTAGCTGGAAATTTACTGGCAGGCATTACTCTCTGGTTAGAATAAGCATAAAGCAAATGTAGTTCTCTTGCTGCTGTGGGCAAATATAAAGAATAATGCTAGCTAATGAGAAAGTTCTGACAACTGCTTCATAAAATAAACATCACAGGTTTGCAACCTTTATAATGTACAAGGGGAAAACTGAGTTTCCCACTGCACTGGATTTTAAATGGGATTTCTCTTTGCTAATGTTCCTTATGAGAATAGACAACTTGGAAAATTCTCATGGGTAATCATAATTACATACACACACACATTTCCAAGTGTGTATTAAACACGGACAGGTCAGAACAATGCAGCAAACCTGTGTCACTAAATCAGACTGGTCTTGCTAATGGAAATGGAGGACATTGCTACTATAATTTTCACTTTGGAATGAATCTTCATAATCTTTCATGTGCAAGGATTTTTCCACACCAAAAAAAAAAAAAAAACCAACCCCAAAGTAAATTTAGAAACATTCATATAAGCCCACCCTCATGAGTTTTTGTTTTCTAGTTTGGTTTTCAGCATTTTTTGGGGTTTTGTTTGTGGGTTTGGGATTTTTTAGTTGAATGAATTTTAAGAGAACCTATCGGCTCGAAAGATTGAGTCAGAAAAAAGGCTGGAACGGAAAGAGGGGTGACAGTTACCTTAGAATCGATTTAACGTTGGCTACTTTAATGCTACATGTAATTTCTTTCCCCGCTTTTCTACCCCCTATTTCAGAATGGATATTGCAATAAATATGAACATGATAAAAATAATAGTGTCCCTATGCCATTACTCTTTCTTGCATAATCCAATGCAAAAAAAGTAACACAAGAATCTCCCTTTTCCCCCTATCAATTTATTCAACTGCAGCAAAAGTCATGGTGGGCAAGTTAAACAAAAACAAAACAAAACCAGCAATAAAATCAATAGATAAACACATTTGTTATTACTTAAGATAAATGCCTATAATGTGGAGCCACATTAGGGAAGATAAATTCTGGCTTTAAGAGTTTGACATCTAATAATATCTAATAGATATTATGATCATCTAATATCATAATATCTATTCCTGACACGCTCCCGACAGGCACTTAATCATAGAATCGTAGAATGGTTTGGGTTGGAAAGGACCTTAAGATCATCTAGTTCCAACCCCCCTGCCATGAGCAGGGACACCACACCCTAGACCATGTCACACAAGGCTCTGTCCAACCTGGCCTTGAACACCTCCAGGGTTGGAGCATTCACAACTTCTTTGGGCAACCTGTTCCAGTGCCTCACCACCCTCACTGTAAAGAACTTCTTCCTTTTATCTAACCTGAACTTACCCTGTTTAAGTTTGAATCCATTACCCCTTGTCCTATCACCACAATCCCTGACAAAGAGTCCCTCTCTGTCATCCTTGTAGGCCCCCTTCAGATACTGGAAGGCTGCTATGAGGTCTCCACGCAGCCTTCTCTTCTCCAGGCTGAACAGCCCCAACTTTCTCAGCCTGTCTTCATAGGGGAGGTGCTCCAGCCCCCTTATCATCCTTGTGGCCCCCCTCCGGACTTGCTCCAACAGCTTCATGCTCTTCTTCTGTTGGGGACACCAGAACTGCACACAGTGCTCCAAGAGGGGTCTTATGACAGCAGAGTAGAGGGGCAGGATCAGCTCCTTCAACCTGCTGGTCACGCTTCTTTTGATGCAGCCCAGGACACGGTTGGCTCTGGGCTGTGGGCATACACTGCCGGCTCATGTTCAGTTTCTCACTGAAATGATAGTAATGACTCAGAAATGTATGCACACATCTACCGACAGCACCTCTTAGTAGATATAATTCAGCTGGTGTGGCAGAGTTGCTAAGGATGGAGTCCATTTCACTTCTCTTTTGGCAGACAACTCTAAGCACCTACCCTAAGCTAGCCGTGTCACCCCTGCAGTCACCGGAGAGAAATGCGCCTATCTGGAAGGCTATTTATTCCATCCTAGCTGAATGCCTGAAAGCTAGGATCAATTTTCTTACAAAGTACCTTTCTCTCTCTTCACTGATCACAAGCCTACATTTTATCAGGTATCAGGCACGAGAGAGCTTTGAAAGATGGTCCTTCACTCTGTCCTGGGCTACTGACAAGCAAACCAGTCTTATTAAAGTCTGGAGCAATTTTCATTATCCACACTCAGCAATGGAATGAATACACAATCTTACATGTGTCACACAATAACTATGCCTAAATATGAGTCTGCTGATTCAGGGAAGATTGTCTGTGCACTTAAACACATATCTGTGTGTCCTGGTGGCTTAGACCTAAGGTGCTGAAAATTAGGTAGGGTATAAACTTTATCCTGAAAGCACACATCTGTGTTACACAGTACAATAACTTCATGTGATACCATCTCAGTCTCCACAGTGGCCTAGTTACATTAGACCACTAGTACAGCTGAGTAAAAAAAAATCTCCACATTTTGGCAACTCCGACTCCCAAGTAAGCACTATGAGGCAAGCCAGCCCACACGTCTGCAGCACACTCCAGTGTCTGGAGCTTTAATGGCCAGTTCATATGGCCATTGCCTCGGTCCTCAGCTAAGTTCTCTCTCTAGCAGCTCATCAAAACCACTACATCTGTCCCAATCCTTTGGCTTTTGACAGAATTTCAATTCACTGAAGCTTAATGCTAATCTTGATATTTCCTTCCATTCATCTAAACAAGCAGCGAAGACTCTGAGCTACCAAAACTCTCCCAAATTTCACCACAAGAGAAGTGGATGAATGAATTTCTTTCAGGTCCTGTACTTGCTGGAGGTTTGGAAGTGTTGAGAACTGAAGTATTCTCTGTGACTGAAAACAGAGGTGACTACAGCTAACATGTTAATCACAAAGCAGGTATCTGTCAGAGGAAAATGCCATTTGCCTAAAAGCCTGTAAAACAGCTAGAATACACAGCTGGCATGTGCTCTGGCAAGCAGTAGTCTATCAAACTTCCAAAACTAAGGAAATGATCTGGCAACAGTAAGACAGCAGAAGGTAAGATAAATCTAACTGATGTTCACAGTGCTATCTAAACAGAGGTCCCTTTATCTAAGAAAAGTGTACTTCAAAAAATGAAGTTTATGGAAATTATCTGACAGAAGTCTGTTAAATGGTACTAAAAATCACCTACATGATGCAGAGCTGAGGTTTTTTCTTTCCTTTGTTTTTTTTCTTTTGCTGGAGTCTTTTCCTGCATGTGTTTTGTCCAAGTACTACCCTAACTGAACATTGTGTGTTCCATGCAAAGCACAGGCAGAGACAATACGCATTATCCCTCTAAGAATGTACATCAATTGGGATTCAAAGACAGTGAAAGAGAAGGCAGGATCACACCCATAAACCAAAGCATGTCAATCTCCCTTGCTGTATTATTTCACTAAACTGAAAGATAAAAGTAGTGAAGAAAATGCTTCAGTATCTTGCTCATACATTGCAACAGAAAGGCTTCATCCTGTGCCAACAGGCTGGTAATTAAGAAAATGGTAAACTCTGCCGTAGCCTAACAAAAAACCAAACCCCAACCCCAGTAATGCACACTCATTCACTCATGCAATTTCATCTGTAATTTTTGATTTTTCAATATTAATGGACATTAAAAGTTCTGGCAGTTTGATATCAATATCAAAGACAGCCATACTTTTCAATCCTCATTACTTCAATTACTGTGTTATATATAAAAACTTCAGTCAAAAGACAACCAATGTAGGAAGATTCTTTTAACTGTGGGATACTTAGTTTGCTTACTTTATCACAATATTTCCTAGAGTCTTCGCCTTCACTGGTTCCTTATTTTCATCCAGAATCATCACTGTAAAAAAGAAATATACGAAGAGAACTCCTGATTAGCACATTTTTAAGTGGACGACAGTGTCTTTTTTCATTATGTCACACTTCAGAATAGCAATACACCAAGCAACAAAAGGAATTAAGTAATTTGGGAGTGCCAAACTGGATAATCTTGTGACTTTATTAACATTGAGCCTTAAGTACACAAAGTCTTAAATAACACTGTACTTTGGCAGCAGAAATAGCACAAAGTCCTAAAAGGGAAAAAATGAGAACTGAAAATCAAAAGACACTTCCATATTGGAAAATTTAAACTTCCAAATAGCAAAGGACCATTAAGATACAAGACAACTACAGGAAAAAAGTGTGCAGGTAACATGAGTAGGAAATAACAACTAAGATTAGTGGAGGCTAACCCAGTTAATGTGAGAAATACCACTAGCAGTAATAAGTATGTCGAGAGACCCAGGAAGATGCTCCCCAGTTCACATGGCTTACTCTCATCTGACACAGAGGTAAAGTAGCTCATAACCTCCCAAAGCAGCATAGCAAAGAATCCAGACCTTCCAATGAAGCCTTTTCCCTGGACAACACTGGCCCATCACTTTCAGTTGAAGCATAATACCCTAGTACTGAAGTTTCTGAGGAAAAACACCTGAAAGACTCTCTTCCCTGCAGTCATCTGTTCATAAAGCTTTAGTGAATTTTAGTGCTCTTTTCATGTTTCACTTTTAAGGCATGCTAAATTCATTTCCTTCATTCTATTTATAGAAATTCTTCACTTACACCAGGCTCAATATTTGAAAGAATTTGTAGGAAATTTTTATATTCTTGCAATTCATACTTTTTCCTAAGCCTATCATGTGATAGCATGTGCAATGCAATTACATTTTCCACTCTTCCCTATTTATTACAACTGTGGACAAACTTGATAGCTTTGGGTTTTTTAATGTTGTTTTTAATATATTGCTTGTCTTCTTCACATATGCCATATGTGTAAATGCCAAAACCCAGAGCTGCTGAAAATGAGTATTTTCTTTAATGCTCACTTTCACTTGTACGTGTTAGAAGAAAAAAAACAGCTTAGCTCTTTCTGCCCAATGATGTGAGGACTTTTCCTGAAGATGGTTTCATCTTTAATGTAATTATTTTATAGAACTCAAACAATTATTGAAAACTGTGTTAAAAACCAGGGTTCCCAGGTATGAAAATATTTTTGCATTCTTAATCCTGTGGCTGCACCCTCTGCATGCAAATACCTTCCAGACAATGAGAGCTCATCCTTCTAACATTTGTCCATAGCCTTACCGTATCTCCCACCTGGAAATAAAAATGCTCCACAAGTACTGAAAAATAACATTCTTAAAACTCTCTCAAATATGAGCCTATGTACCTAACCAAAAAAGGCAGAAAACTGACTTAGATTTTCTTTAAAAAGTATGAGATGAGTTCAAATAGAAGATTTATATCCTTGCCAAGCTGCTTTCTAGCTCACTATGACATGTTTGTGGAAGACATAGACCAGTAAGAATTTTCTTTACGCTTTTTAGAATACTTCTCATATAAAACTGTAGAGGCAAAAGAAAATCATAGAATCATAGGATAGTTTGGGTTGAAAAGGACCTTAAGATCATCTAGTTCCAACCCGTCTGCCATGGGCAGGGACACCTCCAACTAGACCAGGTTGCTTTAAGCCTTTTCCAGCCTGGTCTTGAGCACTGACAGGGATAGAGCATTCACAATCTCCTTGGATAACCTGTTCCAGTGCCACACCACCCTCACAGTAAAGAATTAAAAACCTAATTAATCTAATTGATTAAAATCTAATTATTCTAATCAATGTGTCTCTGAGATATAATTATTCGGTGTACAGCTCCTAAAGCAAAACTATTTAGGCTGTGAAAATTGAAAACATGGTTATAACAGAATACTCAAAGTTCAAGTTATAGCAATTATTTGTCTAATTGTCATTTCCTCTTTTGCCGATAGTTATTACTAACATTTTTCTTCTTTTTTTGCCAATACTATTTTTACTGCTGCTCTCATTTAAAACAGTGCAACTGTAAATAAAACACAGTATTTTTTCATATCTTTGTCATATCCAGTCTAGAAGGTTATATAATATATAATAAATGAAGGAGTAGTTGATAATTTTTCTTGAACATAACTCTGAATTTCTTCTTCATAATCACATTCCATAACACACAAAAAAGCAGAGCTTCCTGTTACAGGAAGAAAGAAAATGTGTTAATAAGACTGTACTTTGCTTACTTTATAAGTTATGAAAATTAAAGAGAACTCATTCAGGAATATAACTAACATCCTTTTCTATTAGCATGTTGAGCATAGTCTTACCATTGTATCCTGGCACTGGTTTTCCTGCCTGTCCGGGTGGAGGTGTCGTAGAGTTCCCTAAACCAATACAGGAAGCAGTAATTGCAGAACCAGATTCTGTTAAGAGACCACAGATATTGTCAGTTAAGATTGTTCTTAGTGTCATTATGTATTCATTGGTTCTAAGTTTTGCTTGTAGCTCAACACATCAAAATAATACATCAAAAAAAAATGAATCTCAAACAATGGAAGTTTTAGAATTCCAGAGCTTTTACCTATTATCTAATGAATGCAAGTTCATTACAGAAATTTGCATTCTTCAAAAGGGGACTTTTTCCACTCCATATAGAAATAGGTCAGACTTTCTTCATTACACCTGTAGTTTATTCTGCTATGGGTATAAGGCTATACCACACCAGTAAGAAAATACCGTGATACAGCAATACTGTGTAGGGCAGATGTACTTCAAGGGTTGTTTCACGAGTCAATATCCTTAGGAGGAATGAATTCCAGAAAACAACATCAATCATTCCTGGTTGATTATTATATCCCTGTAAAGCAATATCAAACTGTTGTTCTATTTTGGAGCTACACATTCAGAGGTTTGAAAGGTGAATAAATGCCAAATCTTCATGACAATACTGGTCAGGAAGATCAGAGAAGAGGCAGTGCCTAACAAAATTTACTGTAAATAATGAAGTCAGGAATACCTCTTTTACAATCCTGGAAATCGGTGAGAACTATTTCAGATAACAAAAAGACTCAAAAAGAAACAGGGTAGAAAAGTCAGAGCTAAATTTTCAGTGTTGTCAAAATAAATTCAGAAGAAGCAATCTAAGGAATAGGAATCAAATTGCTGCAAGATTTTTGTGATCGTAATCCAGATGTTTTCTCCTCCTCTACCCACAAACATTAAAACTTTTACTAACTACAGCATTTTGGAGTGGGGTTGGGGGG